TATTCATTCCTTAATTTATATAATATCTCTCTACCCCCACCTCCTCATTTATTCCTTAATTTCTCTCCCCCCTCCCCCACCCCATCAGGCGGCGACTTGGCCCAGGTCCAGAGAGCTGTGTGTATGTTGAGTAACACCACGGCCATTGCCGAGGCCTGGGCCAGGCTTGACCACAAGTTTGACCTCATGTACGCCAAGAGAGCCTTCGTGCACTGGTATGTCGGGGAAGGTGAGTACTGTGTGCGCCCACCGGTTGTGTGGAGGAGGAAGAGTTGTTGTCTGTAAGTTCTCTCCATGTAATAGTGAAGACCCAGCACAGAAGCCGTGTGCTCGAGAGTTATCTTATAAATAGATTGTGATACTAAGATCCAAAATGAAAATTCTGAAATGCTATGTATGGTCAACCCTCATATATGGCTGTGGATGCTGGACAATCATTAAAGACAGTGAAAATAAAATAGAAGCAACAGAAATGTGGTTTCTTATGAGACTGCTGAGAATATCGTAGAAGGAAAAGAAATCACATGATGTAGTGCTTGATGAAGCCCACGTGGGACGCTCACTGTTAAAAACAATCAGGAAACGACAAATGCAGTTCTTGAGGCATCTGAATAGACATAAAGGTCTTGAACATCTAGATCTTAATGGCAAACCTGAAGGCAAACGAGGCAGAGGTAGGCCGAGAGCAACCAACTTAGGGAACCTAAACAAAGGGATAACAGGGAAAGATCAGGGAAACGTGGCTTTTTTGAGAGCATCCGAGCAAAGGAATGAATGGAGAATGATGATCGCCGATGTCTGTCACAGATCTGGCACTTGATGATGATGATGATGATGATGATGAAAAATATATATTTTCCGGAAATACAACAAGGTCTTAACTGTTTTAATACCTTCTTTATACAATGATGATGATGATGATGATGATGATGATGATGATGATGATGATGATGATGATGATGATACTGAGATCAGTTCGTCACTGTGTGAACCGGCCCTAATAAGGGGGGTATATTACTAAAGAGTGAGGGACCAACGTTATTGACCTGTATGATACAATCCTAGACCGTTCACTTGGACATACTTCGGGTTCACTGTGGAGCGCATCCTTTCACTCATTTTGAGCCAAGTGAAGGGTTATGAACAAATGTCTTGCGTGCACTAGACTGTAGCAAAGACATGTACTATCATTGACTTTGGCAAAGACTGGTGTTTTGTGTTTCGTCTTTCATTTGGGTGCAAATGGCGCGGTTCATGGTGCGCATGCTTGGTTGCGAACTTTATTTTTTTTGAAAACGAAGAATGGGTCTTCCCTCGCCAAAATGAGAACAAAATGCTGATTCAGAAATTAATATGGTCTTGCCTTCCAATGTTCTGTTCTAATCTCTCCCCCCCCCTCTCCGTTCCTACAGGTATGGAGGAGGGTGAGTTCGCCGAGGCCCGTGAAGATCTGGCGGCTCTGGAGAGAGACTATGAGGAGGTGGGCCTGGAGAGTACGGAGGAGGGGGCGGAGGAGGATGAGGACGGGGATGAGTACTAGCGGAGTCGACACTCGGACTGGTACCCCGACCCGACTCCCTCTCCCTACACCCAGTTGTCCAGTCTCCAAACCCTCTTTTCTTCA